GCTTCTAGGTGGCACACTATAGGGCAAGCTACACATGGTGCGAAGGTATAGCAGTTTTTCCCTGAGGTGTTTGGTTGTGGGTACAAAACGCAGCCTCTAACGCTGCAATCTGGAATGGACACATCCATTGATATGCCCCAGGGCTGCTTTGCAATCCTTTCCCTTCCAGCAATTTCTCCGCTGAAAATTAACCTCCCCAAGCTGCTTTTTCTCCCTTGTGGGAGAAGCAGCTGAGGCTGGATTTCAGCTAAAAACTGCCAGTGGTGAAAGGATTAAAGGCAGTCTCTCTCTCTCTCTCTCTCTCTCTCTCTCTCTCTCTCTCTCCTTTTCCTCTCTCCCTCCCTCTCCTCTCCTCCCCTGCCTCAATGTTCCTTTTCTATTTTTTAAAATGCTTTTAAATGAGAGTCAGTGTGGTGTAGTACAGTGGTGCCTCGGGTTAAGTACTTAATTCGTTCTGGAGGTCTGTTCTTAACCTGAAACTGTTCTTAACCTGAAGCATCACTTTAGCTAATGGGGCCTCCTGCTGCTGCCGCCGCGCCGCCAGAGCACAATTTCTGTTCTCATCCTGAAGCAAAGTTCTTAACCTGAGGTACTATTTCTGGGTTAGCAGAGTCTGTAACCTGAAGCATATGTAACCCAAGGTACCACTGTACTTAGCATGTTGGCCTACAATCCTGGAGACTAGGTTTCGAATCCCCACTCAGCCATGATCACCTGTGACCAAGTGAATATGCCTTGGTGCCAGAATGGTGCCTGACATCTCCACCATCTGTGGTTCATTGGATCTGGGCTGTTTTCACACACTAATACTAGCTCCTGTAGAATTTTATCTGCAGGATCAGATTGAATTTCAGGAACCAATTTGCTTTTTCTGTGCAGCCTGAGCAGGAGCAGTCAGCATTAAGGGTGGGGGGGAGATAGGAATAGGCCAAAATCTATGTGGACTGTCCCTGGATCAAGTGACATTCTTCATTAAGTTCTCAAAGCTCTTAACCTAGCTCCAGGTTGTCATCTGAACTAGCCAGATGTTTGACTGAGAACCAATCATAGTCAGTCCATCCTTTGAAAAATAAGACCTTAGAGCTGTCTTACCCAAAAATGGCAACTAGATGTTATAATAATAATTTATATAATAATATTTATTTACCGTATTTTTTGCTCTATAAGATTCACCTTTTCCCTCCTAAAAAGTAAGGGGAAATGTGTGTGCGTCTTATGGAGCGAATGCAGGCTGCGCGGCTATCCCAGAAGCCAGAACAGCAAGGGGGATCGCTGCTTTTGCTGCACAGCGATCCCTCTTGTTTTTCTGGCTTCTGAGATTCAGAAATTTTTTTTTCTTGTTTTCCTCCTCCAAAAACTAGGTGCGTCTTATGGTCTGGTGCGTCTTATTGAGCGAAAAATACGTATTTGCTTACTTACCGGTACTTACTTACTTACTTACTTACTTACTTATACACACATACATACAGTGGTATCTTGGGTTAAGTACTTAATTCGTTCCAGAGGTCCGTTCTTAACCTGAAACTGTTCTTAACCTGAAGCACTACCTGAAGCACCACTTTAGCTAATGGGGCCTCCTGCTGCTGCTGCGCCGCCGGAGCCTGATTTATGTTCTCATCCTGAAGCAAAGTTCTTAACCTGAGGTACTATTTCTGGGTTAGCAGAGTCTGTAACCTGAAGTGTATGTAACCCGAGGTACCACTGTACATACATACCGTACATACCCCACCCATCTGGCTGTGTTTCCCCAGCCACTCTGGGTGGTTTCCAACAAAATATTAAAATACAATAAATCACCAAATATTAAAAGCTTCCCTAAACGTTCTGTTTTGGCGACTGTAACCTTGGTTTTAAGGAGCCGTTTGGTTCCTAGCTTATACATCTGAGTTTCTAACACTGCATGGCTGTCGCAGCTTGTGCTCCTCAGCTGGTGAGGCATGATCCAGTCACTGCCCAAGCTATTGTCTTAAGAAAAAGAAAGTGAAGTCATGCATGAGGACGGAGTGATTAGAAGCAAGAATGGTTTTAGGGCGGATGTGGGTGGAAGAAAGGCAGCACAGCCTTGTGTGTGAGAGTGAGAGAGAGACCCAGAGCGAAGCACAATTCAGAGGGAAAGCAGCTCACTAGAACAGAGGCGGAAGGCCTTAAAGGAGTCCGCCTGGCACCCCACTGGTCATGTCTACATCTTCAGCACATGATGTAAGCACAACAACACTTCCTTCAAGGAAAGGGGAACTCCCACTGCCCACATTGCTCTGAGAGCAGCAACTAGAGTCAAGGTAGCAAGTGCCAATACCGGGGGCCTTCAGTGGAGAATTTGAAAAGTTGAGCAAGGGGAATTGGGCCAGCTTTCCAAAGTGCCATTCTGCGGCCACAACAAACCCCTTTCCTTTCTGGTTGGCACTGGTGGAAGGGGCAGGCTGCCCCCTCGTGCACCATATTTGGGCACAGGACCTCCTGGTACGGACCCCCTAATGTAGTAGCTTAAAGGCAAAGGGTCCCCTGACCGTTAGGTCCAGTCGCAGACGACTCTGGGGTTGCGGCGCTCATCTCATTTTACTGGCTGAGGGAGCAGGCATACAGCTTCCGGGTCATGTGGTCAGCATGACTAAGCCACTTCTGGTGAACCAGAGCAGCGCACAGAAATGCTGTTTACCTTCCCGCCAGAGTGGTACCTATTTATCTACTTGCACTGTGTGCTTTCGAACAGTCCAACCTGCGTCCCTGTAAGTAGCTTACAATCAACCAATTCAGCCTCACTCTCCTCTATCACTTCTTTAATCCGCTTCAGGTAGTGAGTTTAGAAAAGGCCTTTTGATGGAGCCTAGATAAAAGAGAGCTGCCTGCTGCTCTAGTTCAGAAGTTCTCAAACCTTTTTCCCTGGGCCACACTTTCAGAATAAAAATTTGCTCGTGCCACACTGAACTTTTTCTTGACAAGAAATACATTGCACAACAAAAAGAAACAACAACTAGCAGTGCTTGATTTATAACATCAAACACAACTGATTTTTAATATGATCATGGGACATCTGGGGAGTATAAAGCAATGCAGCTACATAATAACATGAATCATTCCCAAAATGTAATGATTAAATGAACCTCTCACATATGCACCTTGTGTATACAAACTCAATGAGAGGTGCGAGCTTGCTTAGACTACTGTATTTTAATGATCTGTTGGAAGCCGCCCAGAGTGTCTGGGAAAACCCAGCCAGATGGGAGGGGTATAAATAATAAATTATTTATTTATTTATTATTATTATTATTATTATTATTATTATTATTATTATTATTATTATGCCGGGTAATCTCATTTCTATGAGGTCCAATTTGAGACAAACCCTCATGTCCTCATCACCACAAAAAAAGCCTTTCTCTTTTCTGATCTTTCATATTTATCAGAGTTGAAAATCCCTGTTCACAATATGCCATTAAGAACTGTAGAAGAATAGCCAATTCTTTTGAAGAGATGAGTGGATACTGTTTCTGGTTGTACATCCACACTACTCAGAAATGTTTAGATGTTTCTTTGATCTCTCTAGAATCTTCCCCGTCACACTTGCCATCCTCTCCTGCCACACCCTTGGAGAACCACTGTTTTGCAGTAGTTTAAATCAGAAGAGAACTCCTTCAAGCTGGTGGGCAGGGATAGATGCCCTCCTCCCTCAGCATTTGAAAAAAACCCTGCCTGCTAAGACGCTTCCTCACCCACAGGCACTGCTGTTTTCACAGCTTCTGTCTGCTTCCTGTTTATATAGAGGTTCCCATACATCTTTGGCCAGAGGGCAGCCCCCTTAGTCTGTTGCAGAAAAGGCAACAAAGACTGTTGGGGCACCTGGGTGCCGATTGTGGTGTAAGTTGCAGTCCATAAAGTTCGTGGTCCTCAAGAAATTCATGCCATAATCAATTTGCTCATCTTCTAACGGTTCACAAGACCAGGAGCAGACCAGGAGACATTCCTGGGCCAATGGAGAAGCAGAAGCTGCCTGAGCCAAGAGGACGATGATGAACACCCAAACAACAGTCAACCCACCTCACATCGGGAGGGAGCTGGTGGTCACGGGGAGATGAGAAAGCCCCCCCCCCCGCCATAGGAGTCAACTCCTACGGGCTCCGCCCAAAAGCTGATGGGCATTGCCATTCAAATGGTGTGCTTGTGCCACATCTTTGATTATGTGGGGCGGGGCTTACCTGGTCCCCCACCCCATAGTTTATTCAAGGAAGTCAAGTTTTGAAATGTCAAAATGATTGTCAAATTAGTGAAATGTATAAACCTGAAAAGCATAAATAAAATTTCAAGTTGGCACCCCCGCTTGCTATCCTGCCCCAGGTACATGGTACCTCAAGTCCAAAACAGGGTGCTACCTATAGACCCCTGGTTCCCAATGTGGGGCACAATTTGATTTTTAAGGGGGGATATCCCAGAATGAGTTATTAACCGTGAATGGCCTTTTAGGCTTCCTTCACGTGAATAGGACTTTGCTTTTTGAATAAGAAGAATTATATGTCACAGGGGTGGGGATGGGATCAAGATTTTGGAGACGCTTAGGTGGGGCATGGCCAAAAAAAAGAAGGTTGGGAAGCACTGCTATAGAGGGAAGCTACAAACAAAGCAATATATCTTCTCCCCCCCCCCGCCCCCGGCAAAAAAAAGAAGAAACCAGCACCCCCTTCTCCTTCCTCGTCGGGCCACACCTGTTACCTGGGAGCGGAGCTACGACCCATCCACCTGCCCTGGATTCCAGGTAGCGGGCGCCTGCCTATTTGCTGGAAGCAACGCCGAGGGGAGAAGCCGGAGGCCGCTCGAGCCCGGGGTCTGAGGAGCCATCCCGCCTTGGGCCGACGCCCTAGCCGGGCAGAGCCACCTCCGGCAAAGCCCCTCGCTAGGGGCTGGCGCCATTGTCGCAGCGCTGGCAGGACGGGAGGGAGGAAGGAAGGTCCTCGGTGCGAGCCCGAGGGATCCCTCCGCGCGCAATGTTCCCGCGCATCCTTCTTTACCGTAAGCTTGGTCGGCGTCGTCGGGCTCCTTGCCGCTCGGCTCGCCGTCCATCGCTGCCGGGACAGAGAGCGCTGCTGCTGCTGCTGCAGGCGCCGCCGGGGGACTGCGAGGAGGCGGAGAGAGGCAGCGTTGCCTGGGCCGTGCGGCGAAGTTAGGCCCACCCGACGGCCCTCCGCCCCTTTCCTGCCTCGGCGTTGCCGCCTTCCTGCGCTTAGCGGTCCCGGCGGGGCGGTCCCGGCGTCAGAAGAAGCGGATCCGTTTGTCTTGCGCGCCCGCAGCGAGGAGGCGGCCGGGCCGCGCTGCGCGGTGCATTTAAAAACCCGCTTCCTCCCGGGGATATGGCTCCGCGAGAGGAAGTGTGGGAGGGAGAGGGCCTTTGCGGGTTGCTGAGCCAGCGAGGTTGAAACTCCACGCCACGACTTAGACAATCAAAATCTTCTTCTTTGGAGATCACTCGTAGATCTTCTTTTGGAGATCACTAGCCGAGTGATCTCCGAGTGGATTATGGTGCTTGGAGTCCCATGGACTGCAAGAAGATCAAACCTCTCCATTCTTAAGGAAATCAGCCCTGAGTGCTCACTGGAAGGACAGACCTGAAGCTGAGGCTCCAATACTTTGGCCACCTCATGAGAAGAGAAGACTCCCTGGAAAAGACCCTGATGTTGGGAAAGATGGAGGGCACAATGAGAAGGGGACAACAGAGGACGAGATGGTTGGACAGTGTTCTCCAAGCTACCAGCATGAGTTTGACCAAACTGCGGGAGGCAGTGGAATACGGGAGCGCCTGGCGTGCTCTGGTCCATGGGGTCACGAAGAGTCGGATATGACTAAACAACAACAACGTAGCCGAGTCAGATTGTCTTCCATTAACACGTTTTTTTACAGTGAGAACAAGAAATAGACGCAATACTCAAGGCTGTATGTAGGTCATGAAGGATCGGCTTCTGCGTCAGAGAAAGCCCCAGCATGGCCTTGGGGAAACTAAACCCCCAAAACTGGGGTGCCAGAGGACATGCCATAACTTAGGATCTTGACTTTGTAGGCTTTGCGAGGGGGGGATGGGACACATACACACCTATTCCCACGACCAAAATCCCAAACGAGTTGTACTGAAGCTTTTTCTTCTTATTTCCCAAACAACCTTTCAGAAAGCAACCCCCTTCTTTCAATCACACTGTAAGCATAGGAGGCAACTCCTAGGGGACAAGGGGTCTTCAGCCCCCCCCAATAAAATATTTGAGGGGGCTGCCCTCCAAAGTTTTGATGGCCATTGCCATTCAAATGGTGTGTACATTATGTGATTGATTATGTGGGGCACCCCTGACTTTAAGAGTTGGTTACTTAGCAATCATCTTCCCTCAAAGTCTGATTGCCTGGGGGAAACTCTCCTCAGTTGATGCCATTGCCTGTTTGGTCTAGGTGGTTAATACAGTATGGCCCTTTTTGCTCCAGTACAAATATTATTCAACTATTTAGAATATGTGAGGCTCCACTAGCTGCCAGGTCTACAACCAGGGTTGGCCATACCATTCGTTACAGTGAGGCTATGTCCTCGAGCCACAAATGCCAAGGGGAGCCCACACTTCCAGGAAGAGGGAGGCAATTTTATTACCAGAAAGGAACAGAGGCACTTGGGCATCTTCTGCCTCAAGTGCCAAAATACCTTAACCAGCCTTGGGTACAACATACTTTGACCTGGGGCAGGGGGGGGGGGGAGAGAGAGAATTTAAAGCTCTATCTCAGGCAGCAACATATTTTGGGCCAGCTCTGCTGGCAGCCAGCACAAATGTGGCAAGATTGGCCAAATGTACTTCCTCCTCACAATATCTGTATGGCAGGTTCCCTTGCCCCAAACAAAAGCTCTTCTTGATATCAATGAATGGGGATCATGCAGCCCATTGGCCTTCTCTGGAATTTTGAGGAAACAGAGTGACATTTTTAAAGGTATTTCATTTTCAGAACACAAGATGTAACGGCTCCACAACATAGAAACTGAGAGCTGTTTTAAAATCTCTTGGATGTTTGTCTTGCACTCCGAGGCTGTTAAGGACAAGGAAACTCAACCACAGCACCATATTACTGCAGACAAACAACCTATAATTTCCTCCTCCAGATCCAGGAATGACTCTCAGAGGCGGGCAACAGGCCCTTTCCTCCCTGACAATTTAAATGGGCGTTGACTCTGCTGCGGTGTGAGCTTTCGCCTTTCATAGAAAGTGCTGAGACCACTTAGGAATATGCTCTCCCAAGGATCAAAATATATATCCATTGCTAGAACATATTTGTTTAACAGACAGAATTTCCCCTCTTTCCTTTGTTTCTTCTGAGCTTAACATTCTGAAAATGAGAGCGAAGCATTCACAGCCCTCAACTCGTTTCTTAATGTGAAAAAGTTCATACTTTCTAGAACAGGTAGGGAAATTCACACTTTGAAGTTAAGGCTGCCATAAATGTTTAACTTGAACATGCCAGCCCCCACAGCCCACAAAAGCAGCTTGCTCATGCTGCTCACCTACCCCTCTAATTTATGTCTGATCTATGATACAGGATGCGGGTGGTGCTGTGGGTTAAACCATGGAGCCTAGGGCTTGCCGATCAGAAGGTCGGTGGTTTGAATCCCCGCAATGGCCAGTAAAGCGAGATGAGCACCGCAACCCCAGAGTCATCTGTGACTGGACCTAATAGTCAGGGGACCCTTTACCTTTACCTTTATGATACAGGAAGACAGGTGCTCATGTATGCTGAGACCACTAAGTAATCCAAGGACACGCATGTAGTGGTGAATACACACAAGTTCTTTTTCCATAGTAATGCAAGCAAACAGGGATGTATCTTACAGTTTAAATCTCAGTTGCTGAAACAATTAAAGCAAAAGCTGAGATCATTCTGGCCTATACCCTCTCAGGATTATTGCAGAAACTCATGTGCTCTGTCATCCAAAGGAAATCACGCCCAGCAGCAATGGACTTGTAATTGCTCAGGGAAATACAGTGCAAGGCCACTCGAGTCCTGAAGGAAAGACATTTCAGTTCAGCAACTTGGCCATCCCTTTTTGGTTGCCTATACAGACTGAGGCAAAGAAAGAAAAGAAAAGAAAGTCTGTGAGTTAGTTGTTTTTGGTTTGTTCTTTGCTTTCAGACTAGCTGCCAGAAAAGCAAGGCTCCTCCATTCCCCAGTAAATTTTAAAAGACGTGTCCTCTGAGTATACATCTTTTGCTGCTTGGCTCTGCCTCCAGAAACTGCAAGAATGAGGACCTGCCTCCCCCAAAAAGCCAATTGGGTTCCACCTCCCAACTCAAAGTCGGCTCTGCCAAAAGACCTAGGGGGCATTGCCCCAGAACCCACCCAGCTGTATTTCAAGAATTGGTGACCCTACTCCAGCCCACCAACTGAATAACAACTTTGCAATCAAATCAAGTTTCTGGCTGGGAAACCTCTGAGTGCATAGCTTCTTTGTGGTGAACAGCAGACTGTACAACATTACCAGGCAAAGGAAGGCAGGGGGATAGAATACTTACTTGGGCCCCTGCACTGAAAAGGAGGAGGGCAATACCAATGTACTTTCTGACAATCATATTTTCTACACACTTTGCTTTGTACTCTTGCTTAGACGAAAGTGTCATAGACAGTGGCAGTTGTGTGTCTGGGAAACCCACAGCAGCAGGAGATTTAGTCTGTGTGGTGGAAAGGAGGAGGTTTGACCCTGCCCCTGCTATGTGCATTTCTCCTCCAGCCCATCCAAATTTTCCCCAGCAGGAATCCTTTATACTGTTGCTTAACAGAAAACATTGCAACAGCCCTGCTCCTTCCCCCTCAGCTTCTTCTCTGCAGACTGCACCCACCTGGCTTTTAAAAAACAGAGAGCACAATAAACATGTAGATCTATCCTCATGTTGCTTCCACATTAGAGCCCTTTAACACTGTAGTAGAACTGATTTTCTGCAAGAAACCAGAAGCAGAATTATCACTGTGGTGACCCACTAGTAATATCCTTCTCCACAGCTAAGATTCTCTTACAATGTGAATTCACAAATCAACCCCATCCAGGAAAGGACATTTCCAATGCTAATTAAAAGTGTCCCCCTTGTAGGTTCACACAGCCTGTTTTATTGCTTTCCAATAAGCATGGGACGCGGGTGGCGCTGTGGTCTAAACCCAGAAGTTCAAAAGTACAGTGGTACCTCGGGTTAAGTACTTAATTTGTTCCGGAGGTCCTTTCTTAACCTGAAACTGTTCTTAACTTGAAGCACCACTTTAGCTAATGGGGCCTCCCGCTGCCGCCGCGCTGCCAGAGCACAATTTCTGTTCTTATCCTGAAGCAAAGTTCTTAACCTGAAGCACTATTTCTGTAACCTGAAGCGTATGTAACCTGAGGTACCACTGTACGTTAAAGTGCAAGTAGATAAATAGGCACTGCTCCAGCAGGAAGGTAAATGGCGTTTCCGGCGCCAATAAAGCGAGATGAGTGTGGGGCTGCAACCCCAGAGTCGTCCGCGACTGGACCTAACGGTCAGGGGTCCCTTTACCTTTACCTTTAATAAGCATGGAGGTGGGGGAATGAGTGATCAATAGTTTTATTAACTGCATCTCTTAATTGTCCCAGTCAAGTTTCTGATCCAAGGGGAGCCTTTTTTGTTTTCTTTAGAAAAATAGCACTATTTTGCTAGGGAAAATGGAAAGAAAATGTACTGATGAGAGGAAATGAATATGTCTGCCTGCACACACGTAGCAACCGAAACTAACTTTCAGTAACGGGAGGCTGTGATGTCCCTGGGTTAAGAAACTGGATGGCTCTTAACTGGATTGTTGTTCACACCATGTCTGCTTCCACCCACATTGGTCTTCTTCCTGAACTATTTAATATTATTTACAGTCCGGGAATAATAATAATAATTTATTCTTTATACCCCACCCATCTGGCTGGGTTTCCCCAGCCACTCTGGGCGGCTCCCAACAGAATATTAAAAACACGATAAAACATCAAATGTAAAAAACTTCCCTAAACGGGGCTGCCTTCAGGTGTCTTCTAAAAGTCAGATAGTTGTTTATTTCCTTGACATCTGACTGGAGGGTGTTCCACAGGGTGGGTGCCACTACCAAGAAGGCTCTCTGCCTGGTTCCCTGTGACCTCACTTCTCGCAGTGAGGGAACAGCCAGAAGGCCCTTGGAGCTGAATCTCAGTGTCCAGGCTGAACGAAGGATCTCAGCATTCCATGATTCATTATCCAGATACTGAGTTATTTAAAGTTGTTGAGAGCAAATTAATTCATCCCTCTGCACTTTCTCAGAGGCACTGGTTACTACTTCCCAAGACCCCTGGGAG